TTTGCGAAAGGGGTAATAACTCCGAAAGGGGTCAAAGTTCATTTACGCAGGGTCAACTGCAAAAATCTTTTATGGAGTACATTCTTATGGAATAAAAATCTTTTCGATAAATCTTGAAACTCAAAATCACACGGCGGAAAAATAATAAAAAATAACTAGGAGACTTATTGTTCACAGAACAATAAGAGGTCTTTCCACCTTCTTTGAACTCTGTTTTATATCTGACTCCTAAAAATTAAATTCCATGAAAAAGAAACCAAAACTCTCTTAAAGCATAGAAAAAATGAAAATTTAAAAAAAAAAAGAATGACCTTGACCTTTGACCTTGAAAAATATTCAAGGTCAAAGGTCAAGGGTCACAATGCAATTGACCCCATGCTTCTACCACTTATAGTTTTCAAGTTATAAGGTTTAATAGTAAGTACAAAGAAGTTAAAGGGCAATAACTCATATAAGGGGTCATCAGATTCTTTTGCACTTATACAATGAAGTTAAGTCTAAAGACCTTTAAGACATTAGTGAAGGTTTGGTGTCTCAAGTGTCTACAGTTTCGGAGGAGTAGCGATAACAAGGTTTTTCACACAAGGGGCAATAACTTTTAAAAGGTTTAATCTTAGGGGACAAGAATGAAATCTTTGAAACAGTTTTAAGAGTACATATCACTGATGCATAGACATTAAGTATATGTTGAAAGACAAAAGAGATACAAAAAGAGCTAATTTTCTCATTTTTGGAATGACCTTGACCTTTGACCTTTACATGAATTTTAAGGTCAAAGGTCAATGAATCTTATGCAGTTGGTCCCATGTCTCTACGACTTCTTGTTTTGAAAATTTTTAATTATTTGTAAAATTCAAAAAGTTTCAGGGGCAATAACTCACTGAAGGGGTCAATGAATACTTTCGCAATGAATCAATGAAGTGTCTACTAAAGTAGTCAAAGACATTAGTGAAGGTTTCATTTCTCTACTGTTTACGGTTTCGGAGGAGTAGCGATAACAAGCTTTTTTGCGAAAGGGGTAATAACTCCGAAAGGGGTCATAGTTCATATATTCAGGGTCAACTGCGAAAATCTTTTACGGGGTACATTCTTATGGACTATAAATCTTTTCGATAAATCTTGAAACTCAAAATCACACGGCGGAAAAATAATAAAAAATAACTAGGAGACTTATTGTTCACAGAACAATAAGAGGTCTTTCCACCTTCTTTGAACTTTGTTTTATTTCTGACTCCTAAAAATTAAATTCCTTGAAAAAGAAACCAAAACTCTCTTAAAGCATAGAAAAAATGAAAATAAAAAAAATGAATGACCTTGACCTTTGACCTTGAAAAAATATTCAAGGTCAAAGGTCAAGGGTCACAATGCAATTGACCCCATGCTTCTACCACTTATAGTTTTCAAGTTATAAGGTTTAATAGTAAGTACAAAGACGTTAAAGGGCAATAACTCATATAAGGGGTCATCAGATCCTTTTGCACTTATTCAGTGAAGTTAGGCCTAAAGACCCTTAAGACATTAGTGAAGGATTGATGTCTCTACGGTGTACGTTTTCAGAGGAGTAGCGATAACAAGGTTTTTCGCACAAGGGGCAATAACTTTTAAAGAAGTTAATCTAAGGGGACAAGAATTAAATCTTTGAAACAGTTTGAAAAGTACATATTAATGATGCATAGACATTCAGTATATGTTTAAAGACAAAAGAGATATAAAAAGAGCTAAATTTCGCAGTTTTGGAATGACCTTGACCTTTGACCTTTCAATAAATTTCAAGACCAAAGGTCAATGAATCTTATGCAGTTGGTCCCATGTCTCTACATGTCCTCGTTTTGAAAATTTTTAATTATTTGTAAAATTCTAAAACTTCCAGGGGCAATAACTTATTGAAGGGGTCAATGAATACTTTCAAAATGAATCATTGGAATGTCTACTAAATTAGTCGAAGACAATATTGAAGGTTTCATTTCTCTACGGTTTATGGTTTCGGAGGAGTAGCGATAACAAGCTTTCTTGCGAAAGGGGTAATAACTCTGAAAGGGATCAAAATTCATATACGCAGGGTCAACTGCGAAAATCTTTTATGAAGTACATTCTTATGGACTAAAAATCTTTTCGATAAATCTTGAAACTCAAAATCACATGGCGGAAAAGGAAAAATAATAAAAAATAACTAGGAGGCTTATTGTTCACAGAACAATAAGAGGTCTTTCCACCTTTTTAAATTTCTTATAGTTTTATATTTTACACTCTAAATTTAATTTTAAGGGAAATGGCTTGAAAAAAAAATGAAAATGTTTAAAAAAAAAAAAAATTTAAATGACCTTGACCTTTGACCTTGAAAAAATTTTCAAGGTCAAAGGTCAAAGGACACATTGCAATTAACCCCATGCTTCTACCATTTATATTTTTCAAGATATAAGGTTTAATAGTAAGTATAAAGAAGTTAAAGGGCAATAACTCATATAAGGGGTCATTAGATCCTTTAGTACTTATAGTATGAAGGTGTGCCTAAAGACCCTTAAGACATAAGTGAAGGTTTCATGCCTCTACGGTCTACAGTTTTGAAGTAGTAGTGATAACAATGTTTTTCGCATAAGGGGCAATAACTTTTGATAGAGTCTATCTTGGGGAACAAAAATGAAATCTTTGAAATAGTTTTAAGTGTACATATTAATGATGCAAAGACTGATTGCATATGTTAAAAGACAAAGGATATATAAAAAGAGCTTAATTTCTCATTTTTGCAATGACCTTGACCTTTGACCTTGACAAAATATTCAAGGTCAAAGGTCATGGGTCACAATGCAGTTGGCCCCATGCTTCTACCATTTATAGTTTTCAAGATACAAGGTTTAATAGTAAGTATAAAGAAGTTAAAGGGCAATAACTCATACAAGGGGTCATCTGATTCTTTTGCACTTATACAATGAAGTTAGGTCTAAAGATCCTTAAGAAATTAGTGAAGGTTTGGTGTCTGTAGGGTCTACAGTTTCGGAGGAGTAGCGATAACAAGATTTTTCGCACAAGGGGCAATAACTTTTAAAAGGTTTAATCTTAGGGGACAAGAATGAAATCTTTGAAACAGTTTTAAGAGTACATATCACTGATGGATAGACATTAAGTATATGTTGAAAGACAAAAGAGATACAAAAAGAGCTAATTTTCTCATTTTGGGAATGACCTTGACCTTTGACCTTTACATGAATTTTAATGTCAAAGGTCAATAAATCTTATGCAGTTGGTCCCATGTCTCTACGACTTCTTGTTTTGAAAATTTTTAATTATTTGTAAAATTCAAAAAGTTTCAGGGGCAATAACTCACTGAAGGGGTCAATGAATACTTTCGCAATGAATCATTGGAGTGTCTACTAAATTAGTCAAAGACAATAGTGAAGGTTTCATTTCTCTACGGTTTATGGTTTCGGAGGAGTAGCGATAACAAGCTTTCTTGCGAAAGGGGTAATAACTCCGAAAAGGATCAAAGTTCATATACGCAGGGTCAACTGCGAAAATCTTTTATGAAGTACATTCTTATGAACTAAAAATCTTTTCGATAAATCTTGAAACTCAAAATCACACGGCGGAAAAATAATAAAAAATAATAAAAAAAAGAAACAGAAGAAAATCAATAGGTCTTTCCACAGAAAGGTGGAAAGACCTAATAATAAAAAAAAGAAACAGAAGAAAATCAATAGGTCTTTCCACAGAAAGGTGGAAAGACCTAATAAGAAAAAGGAAAAAAAGACACAGAAGGAAATCAATAGGTCTTTCCACAGAAAGGTGGAAAGACCTAATAATAAAAAGGAAAAAAAGAAACAGAAGGAAATCAATAGGTCTTTCCACAGAAAGGTGGAAAGACCTAATAATAATAATAATAAACATAAGCATTTCAAGAGGTCTTTCCACAGAAAGGTGGAAAGCCCTAAATAGGTCTTTCCACAGAAAGGTGGAAAGACCTAATAATACACTCAAATTGCATTGGGGTGACCTTACTTTAACTTTACGTCTTAGCTTTCGTCTACCTATTTTTAAAATTGAAATCTGAGCAGTTCTTTTATAATGTACTGTAGTAAAAATTAATTGTTTTTTACTATATGTGGTTATTTGACGAGTTGAAAAAGTGACGATATTTTGTAAAGGAAAATTGATGAGTGTTAATTTTGACGAAATATTGAATATTGTTATGTATCCTTGATTTCACAAGTTAAAAATACATGGCAAGAACTCCTATCAAAAGAGGTTAAAAACTAGTACTCGAAAGAAGTTCGTCAGAAACAATAGGGCAAAAACAGTAACACTGATAGAAATATTGGCTTCGTTGACATAGACTTGAGAGTTCCTTACCCCCCCCCCCCCCCCCTTCACACACAGCTGCGACTCTACGGCGATCATCCTGATCAAGCCACGATCTGAAATTTTTTTGAATCGGGGCAGATCGCAGCCGGCGTCTAAATAGAACAATCTGGTAAATTGTGGTCTTCGTTACGACCTTACTACGATGTCCCTTCATCATACGCGCTGCTAACACGCTTCTACCACGATGTTAAGTAGACCGTTGCCGACAACCCAGCTAACACAAAAACATTTTAAAAATGTTTTTAAAACATTTTCAAAATGTTGCGAAAACATTTTTAAAAATGTTTTAATCACGTGATTTTGTATGGTTTTTTAAACGTTTTTAAAACATTTTTGTGAAATATTTCAGCAAAATGTTGTCAGAACATTTTATTAAAATGTTGCAAAAACATTTTGAATAATGTTTTAATCACGTGAATTTGTATGGTTTTTTAAACGTTTTTAAAACATTTTAGTGAAATATTTCAGCAAATGTTTCCGGAACATTTTCTTAAAATGTCACAAAAACATTTTACAACAATGTTTTAATCACGTGATTTTGTATGGTTTTTTAAATGTTTTTAAAACATTTTACAAAATATTTCAACAAATGTTATCATAACATTGTTTTAAAATGTAACAAAAAAAATTTCAAAAATGTTTTATTCACGTTTAATTTGTTTGGTTTTTAAAACGTTTTCAAAACATTCAAGTCGAGGTTACAAAAGTATTTTTCCTGAATTTTTACTTTATCTCATTAAATAATGAAATATTTATATTTTAAAAGAAATAAACACAAATTATATTTAATTTTTGAATCTTTAATACAAACCCATATTCAATATGTTAATCACATTTAAATTCCATTCTCGGTACAAGTTTTAATTTATTTTTTTTCAAGTCACCGGGTTTTTAAAGGTTGAAAACGGCGTCTAATCCATTCACTGAATTTTAAAAGAACAGAATCACAGAAATCCTATGTTCACTGTTTACATGGTATAGGTAGAACAGAGCGGCGGATCTATAAGACTTAGTTAGAATCACATACACTGAAAAGGCTGATAAGGAATCCGCCCCTCGGAGAGAATAGCACAATCTGTAAAGATAAGGAAAATTGTGTTTCTATCAGCGTTCTACATCTAATGTATCTTAAGATAATCAATGAAAATATACAAAAAATATTTTAAATAATTATATCAAATTTAAGTTCTTTCCTCATTTGCATTGAAAAAAGCAGAAAAATAATTACTATGACAATATTATTGAAGAGTAATAGTATTTACGTACACCTTTGCCTTCACCAAAGGCGGGTCTTTTGAATGTGGGAATTTGAAAATACGGATGATGCAACCAACACCATGCTGTAAAGAAATTTCATTTTTAAAATATTGTTTGATGATTAACATTTCACAAAGACAACGAATAGTTGAATCAAGGATATAATTGTGTTGCCTTAAGATTGAAATATTCAAATCAAATACATGTATATAATCTTAACGCTTTGTCATTGCTACATACATTTGTACAAAGTTATTGATCATACACTGGTTGTATAAAAGTAATTTTAAATGATCTTTTAAAGTCTATGATAAAGGAATAATTCTTACCATTCAAAGTTAATAAGTCCCGAGGTTATTATCGTGGTTTATCATGTTTATATGGTGCAAAGTCTTCTCATTCAAATCGGCACGGAGTAAGCGCGCACATATGCATCTTGTTTACCAGAATTCAAAATTTGGCCTAGATAAGCAGCAAACCACTATACTCTGTAACGCGCTGCCCAGCAGGAGAATTGCATAAGAGGTTATCAAGACACTGAAACTGACCAGTGTGCCAATCCCTATCTAATGCCTCAGAGTAAAATTCTGGGAGTGGATCACAGATTTGCTGAAGAACATTCTTTTTTTAAAAGACATTAAGAGTTTTATTTAATGCTTATGATTTTATACATTTATTTATATTTTAAATTTTTTTGTTTGCCTATCCTTTCATTTATTGATTTTTTGATTTGTTTAATCAAAGGATTTTATATAAATTATGTCTGTTTTATCAATAAGCCAAAACTAGAAATCATTATAAAATACCGGAAAAAAAAATCTTTCAATTAAAAAATAACTACAATTCCTCATTTTAACACTATTCTTTCTATATATTCTTTTTTTCTTCATAAACTAAATTTTAGAAAAATCGCAATAATACATTATTTGAATGTTTTAAGAACATTTTAAAAATGTTTTCAAAAAATGTCAAAACTATAATTAAAATGTTTCAATGGTAGTGAAAATAATTATTTTAGTTAATGTTTTAAATAAACATTTTCACTGCCTAGGCCGAAAAATATCCGGAATTGAATGTTTTTAACTAACAGCGATATTAAGAATGTTTTAAAAATATTTTTAAAATGTTCCTTACAAATGTTTTAGAAACGCATATGCAATGTTTTCTATTTACAAAAAAAAGAATGTTTTATTTCATGTCTTAAGAACGTTTTTAAAACGTTTTATAAGATCTTTGATATTTGGAAGCTATAAAAACCCTTAAATGAATTAAGAATGTTTCAAAAACATTTTGACAACGTTCCTTCCAAATGTTTCAGAGACGTATTTATGCAATGTTTCAAATTTATGGAAAAGGAATGTTTCATTTCATGTTTTAAGAACGTTTTTAAAACGTAATATAAAAATCTTTGATATTTGAAAGTTAAACATACCTTTTGAAACATTTTTAAAACGTTTCAAAAATATTTTAGAAAAATGTTCCAAAAGGATTTAATCATAAGCTTTTTGAAAACATTTTAAAAATGTTTTTAAAATGTTATAATGAGAAAAGGAAATGTTTTAAAAACATATTTAAAATGTTTAGTCTGAAATGTTTCGAAAAAACCTTTTTACAACACCAATAAAATGTTTTGAAAATGTTTTGTGCTACCTGGGAAGCGACCGTGTTTACTGCGTTTACGCTACGCTGCCACTACGACATTGAAGACCATATTACGACGCTACACAGGCCTGGATGACTGTACCACGATGTCGCTACGGTGGTGTCGATCATATTACGATTGCTTTACGCTTCTAGTACGATTTTGGCGATGGTGTAAATATATCTCGCAACCGCAGATTTTTGTAGTACGATTTTAGCGATGATACATATCTTGCAACCGCATTTTTTGCGGCTTTTACCACATGGTTTACGGGCATTTTCAATTGTAACTGTAACAAGATGTGAAAAGTCTCAATTTCAAATGATCAAATATATTGTCACCCTTTACATGTAGTATACAGATGACGATTGGTCAAATATCAGCGCTGTAAGAACAAACTCCTGTCTGATAGGTCGTGATATGATTGGCGTAAGGTCATTGTAGGTTTTCGTAGGAACGTAGAGAGAAGTGAGAACGTAGTACGAACGTAGAGGGAGCGTTGTAGGAGCGTACTTGATAAGTACCTACGCTCTTACGGCGCTTTTACTACGATCACAAAGATCTCTCTACGATGCTTCCGCGCTGCTTGTACGCTTATAACCCCGATTCTTGTTGGCCACGATCCCGCTACGCTTGTTTTGAACATGTTCAAAATAAGCGTGGTGAGAGCGTAGAGCTCTCCAACCATGAAGACCCTACTGCGATCATACTACGCTTATGACGACTTCACAACGTTTCTCCTGCGATTTGTAACGATCGGCCATGCATTCGGCCACGCTTTGATCGTAGTAGAAGCGGCGTCAATGTGTGAACGGGGGGTTAATGCGAACTAAGACCTGAAAGTTCACACTGTTGTAAGCAAAAACCTCGACTTCCTCATGAACTCAATTTACAAGCGTTTCGCATCAATATTTCCCTTTTTTGTAAAATTCCCCAACAGTGTATAAGATATAATTGAATAAATTGCTGTTTTGTATTTTATTTTTATCATACGAGACTAATTGCTCGAGGTGAAAAAGAAGCACAAGGGCATATATAAATGATTTGGCAAATGATATTTCCTTGCATAGGAAATGTGGACGTGCGTGTCTCTTAGATTATGCAAGATATTTATGAATCGTATAGCATTAAAGGTTGCAGCTACAACGCTTAATGATACACTAGTGTGTATCATTAGTCGTCGGCTATGTCGATATTTGCTTGTTTCATTAAAGTATCAGTCACATTATCCAGCGATGGGGTATACGATGAGAAACCGATGCGTTTTTCGATGAAAATGGCGTGGTTGCCGGCCGGGCACCACTAGTGATCGGACGGTGACTGAGGCGATTTTGCGAATCGGTGGGGTCATCGGTAGGAAATAATTCATAGTTAAAATTCAGCGATGTCTCCAACGATGCCTCAAATCACTCCTCATCGGCAACCCATCATTAACACATCTTACACGGATCGGCAGATGTATGGCCGAGCATCGTCAATTGTCCGTTGAATCTGAGGTCATCGGGGGGTTGAGTGGTGTTCAACAGATAACGGCCGATCACCGGTCGATGTTCGACCAAACATTGGCCCGTAGTCAACCGATGTTCTAACAATGTTCACCAATGAATTCAGCGATGTAATATACATCGGCCGATTATCCTAGAACATATTTTTATGATTAGCAATGCTTCGCTGGGCCTTTGTAAGTCCGGCCGGCAACCACGCCATTTTTATCATAAAATGCATTGGTTGCCCATCGTTTATCCATCGCTGGATAATGTGACTGATTCTTTAAGGACTGCTTGGCCGATGTGGACCGATGTTGGAGTATCGTTAACACCACGGATTACCACCGATTACCACCGGTCTACGGCCGCCGGCCGGGAAATGTGACCTAGGCATATGCGTCAATGTTGCTTTGCATTTGTGACGCTTATAATGGTATAATTTAGGGATGTCAAAATTGTCAATAATTGATATTCGAATATTCGATAGGAGTATTCGAATATATTCGAATATTCGATAAAATAAATATATCTATTATAAAATATATATTTTCACTCCCCTGTCAATGAGTATAGGTTTTATGCTATTACTTTGGAATAAAAACGCATGTAGAGTTAGGTAAATGCAACACAATTATTATATTTTTTTAATTATCTATTATATGAAGAGTACATGTATACATCCAAATTGTAATGATTTTTTTTTAAAATTCAAAAGAAAATTCTTCAAGTATGTTTCAGATTAATTGACCGTCTTTAGTTAATAAAGTAAACACTGATAACACCTATAAATTTTTACCAAACAGAACAATTATCCAATGGAGAAATAACTTTTTGCTCATTAATTTCCTGATAATTTATTTAAATGATATTTACATAAACAAGGGATCCTTGTGTTTACTGTAAAACTATGTCCTTACAACAATACAAGCTGATTGCATGTACTTAGCACTATTATACCACCAATTGACTGAACAAAGGAATGAATTATTTTAATAGATACACTCTCCACAACCTTAAGGTAATCCAAGAGGAGTGTCTTTTAATTTTGTACAAACTTGATTCAATTTATAATAAAACTTGCAAGGTTTTTCTCTCTTTTTAATGCTTAAAAACGAATATTCGAATCATGAATTTATATTCGAATATCAACTCATCGAATGAATATTCGAATATTCGAATATTCGTTGACATCCCTAGTATAATTCTATCATCAAGCGGCGATTTAGCATTGGCGGTAGAATGTCAGCTATTAATGCAATAATTTGTGGCATTTAGCGTTGCAATTGCAACGCTTAATGCTAGTTGTATCATTAAGCGGCGTTTTATCATTAGAGGTTGCTACAATGCACAATGACGTATGTCCCAAATCGTGCATTCTTAGAACGTCAGACGTCATTTTAAGCAGCTGGGGACATTTCTGCAAGACATTTCGATTCTCTAGTAAGTTTCTTATTAACCGGTAAGATCTGATGAAACCTATATGTATCAAAAGTAATTTCTCAGTACTTTCCACTGATATAAATTTGAATAAACATTGCCTCTTGAATTCGGAATAAATTAATAAGCTGTTAACAAATATATATTTGACATGGCGTCATTTACGCAGCGGGACATATTTGCAAGACACGGATCATGTTTGATTAAATACCTTAGCGCCTTGAAAATTTTCTTTATCTTTTTGGAACAAGTTGTTGTTTAAAAGTACTCATTGTATGTCAATTCAAATTTGTAAATTTTACCGTCAAAATTTTCTTTTTTCACCATGTAAAATGCGTTATACTAATTTTTCATTGAATGGGAAATCCTAAAGGACTTTTATTTCAAAGGATGTGGGTATCTGTTCTCTTATTGGAGGTTTTCAACAAACATATTATGCCTAAATATGATGTAAGAGAACGATCCTGTAAGATATTAAAGAGATGCGAGAAGATTTTTCAACTTTTTTCTACTTTGTTGAAGGTATTTTCCTGTTACAACCACAGGCACCTGAAGTATGGATAATTAACCCCCCCCTTTTTTTTAATGAAAAAAAAATATGTAAGAGTGTATAATACCTCGAAAATATAAAAATTTCCCCGTCAAACACATCTATATGTCGTTATATGCAAGCAGATTGTATTTTTTCTCACGTTTAAAGAATGGCCCTATTCGGTATAATAAAAATTTTTATTATACCGAATAGGGCCATTCTTAAAACATTAGAAAAAGTACAATCTGCTTGCATATAACGACATATAGATGT